AAAACATGACTCTACATATTATCACTACCCAAAACCAGCGGTGTCGAATATAACTATATTAAAATCAGAGCCACCACTAAAAATAATAAGCAGTTGCATCTAACCTACAAAAGTCTACTAACAAACCTCAAACAAATTTTTGGCATTAGCAGCGAGTGTAATAAGTATAAAAACACCTTTATCTGCAAAATGGATCAAATAGAAGAATTACATGATGACCACTGCATCACCTAAATTCTGAGAAACAGCAACAATACTTGCGAGTACGAGTTCAACAGAAGGGAATCAGTCGAAGTAGTCAATGAAAATACGATATTTCTCAATAATTTCAATGGAGCAGTCAAAGCTAACAACAAAACAAAAAACCTAAACGGTAACTTCGTCATAGAATTTTACAATGAAACAATTCAAATTAAAAACGAGACCTATACCAACAAAGAATTTCAATCGTCTCAAATCATTTTGCCACCTATAATGAGTGACAACCATTCCTCAGGAAAAATGAAACTCAACCTAGATTATCAGCATAATTTGCACTTGGGCAACGTCAAACAACTGAGCGAGTTCACTACAACTTCAGCAGTTAGCATAACATTTAATGCCGCATTCACCTTAATTATCATCGCCATTTTACTAGCAGCAGCTATCTACAAATACCAAAACCGGAAAAAATTAACATCTCTTTAAAAACGTCAGAACTAGGAGAACTGGAATCAAAGCTCCAACCAGTAAAATTGAGCTTCTGATCCACGTGGACGCGGATCTTAAAGGAGGGAAGAGTTAAGACACTATGATACACGTGCATAACATCAGACGCTGAGGTCAGCATAATTTTCATGAGAATATTGTTTAGCAATTTACCTGTGAAAACTCTTTTTTTATAATTCCTACAATAAATGCCTAACAAGCATTTTTAACTTTATAATTTAGCTTTAACTTTATAATTGTAATATTTTGCTTAATAATCAATTATTTACTATAAATATGTTCAAAAATAGTAATTAAGTTCAGTTAAGTTTTGTCATTATAATTAAGTACATTAACTCAATAAAACGGACATTAGTCCACGAAAATATTTTTTTACAAGAAATTGAACTATAATTTCTTAACTTGCATACTCATTTTTTTCTTTATAAAAATTGGGATATTTTGAGAATAGCGGAAGTGGCAAGCAAAATAGTGCTGCACATGTTCATGACTTTTTGATTTAAACATGCTATTTATGTTCATGACTTTTTGATTTAAAATATAAAAATAAATTTTAAGGTAAAATTCATGTAACATAAATATGTAACGTAAATATGTTATGTTAGATGCTTTATATAATTTGTATGTAATAAATAATTTTTTTTTAATGTGAATTGTGTTGTTAATATTTCCCTTTATAATGTAAAGATTTCGTCAACAATGTGAAGACGGTGTGATGTCGTTGAATGGAGAAAGCAGAGCACAGTTTTTGTGTCATTTTGCGTCCGAAATTCAAAAATTTAATGAGATGTCACTGTAACAATGTATCACATCAAAAATGTTTTGCTATCAAAAAAAGGTGGATTGCAAGTAACACCCAAAGCCGCACAAAATTTAAAAAAAAAATATGTTCGCATTTAGGCACCATAAGGTATGGTGATATAAAAAAGGTATATTTAATTTCAATTTATGAAAAAAAATTTATTCATAGAGAAAAAAATTAGTGAGTTCTGTTTAAATTTGATTTTTTTTACAGATATTTCAAATGAAATGACGATTTTGACAATGCTTGGAACAAAGAAAGAGGCAACTAGAAAAAATTTGGCTTCATTGTTTTTTCAAAATACTTTAGTATTTCTAATGCAGTAGATACACAGTATGATGTAGTAATATGTACATAGCCTCTTTATACTATTGCTTCAAGCGTACATACTTGAAGCATATTTTGTGTTTATGTTTATTTTATGTGTATCTTGAAGAAAGGTTTACTCAAGTCAATAAAAAATTTTGCTTACTTGACCAGAAATGTTAATAATAATTTAAAATTTAATAGCTGAACGTCGTTTTCGGGTCTTTAAGCTGACATATAAAAAAACAGCTTGAGTTTCGAGCTGATTTTAAGTCAGGTACCCAAGCTGCAATGAAAACGACGTATAGAAATAAAGTAATTTCTAAAGAAAAATATGCGTATGCACAGGCACAGTCCTAGTTTTTCGTCGCTCCAAGCAGTTTCTAAAAAGTGCTCCCCTCCCCCTCCTTTCTCATCGTTCCACCTCTTTTAAGACTAAGAACAAAATGTAATTAGAATTGCACAATGTGCATCATAAATCACTCCCTTATTATGTTGCATGCAGGATTAATTATGGAACTAAAGCCTAGAACTAAACTTTCAGCGCTTTGTTTTATAAACTCAACAACAAGGTAATTTAATTAATTATATTTATAAGTAGTTATGATCAAATTGATTTCAAACGTTTAACTTGATTTTTTGGTTTCAACAACCAAAAATTCACGTTTTGGCGTGAGTGAAACTAAAGAATAAACGGTTCTAAAAAAGTAATTATCAATAAACGAACTTTTTCAAAACTTAATTGAATATAAAAGAAAGTAAAAATTTATTTAATAATATACTTAAATGATTGTACATTCCGAAATTTTATATTTTTAATAGAAAACTCAAACTTTATATTTGTAATTTTAAATTAGTGAAATTTTTCAAAAAATAAGCAGTTATGTATAAGTTTTTATATTTTTTACCTACATAAGCTTATAATAAACTGTGGTTTTGAAATTTCAGAAAGTGACTCAGGTTGTTTTAATTTTGGAGATAAATGTGTGATTCCCTTGATTATTAAACAACATTTTTTCAATTCAATATAAATAGCAGACATTACCAAATTTCGAACGAAAATTGAACGAAAGCAATACATAATAGTAGAAATTCATAATAATCGTGTAATTTTGAAATTCATTCAAATTTTTTGTTATCAAACAAAAAAAAAATATTGGTATACACCTCTCAATACTAAAACTATATTATTTAGCCTATATTTTAATTATTAATAAATGGTAATAAATGGGTATTATTACTAAATGGTAATATAGATACCATTTAGTAATGTTGTTCTCATGCTCTTTTGGTATTTTCTTTCTATTCTCATTCCATAGTTTTGTTTTTTTTATGCTTGGTTTTTACACATCCATCTTTATATAAGACTTGACAACACATAATTTACTAATATATTCATACGGAGTATTGATAATTGATCATCGTACTTTTTGTTAAGAAATATATTTTATATTAGATATTTTCGAATAAATTAGAAATGTTCATGGTGATTTGGGATGTTTGAAAAATAAAAAACAATTAAATACAAAATATATGCAGAAATCATTTTATTTCGTTTAAATATTAACAAAATTATTTCTTTAAATATAAACAAATATAAATTTCTTGTTCTTACAAACTAGTTACTCTTGAAAAAATTGTTTTAAAAAAAAACTACATAACATATTTACATAAAAAAATAAAATTCGTACCCCATTTTTCTTAAAACTAGTTATATTTCATGAGAGAAGCAAATAATTTTATGCATAAATGTACCTATGTATTCAACTAAATTCACAAATTTTTTTAATTTTCTTTTATTAGAGATTAAACTACATGGTTATTTAAATTGTTCAAATCTTAACTTTAGTAGATAATTGATTAAATTATATTTGCTACAGGCAACATAAAAAAATTAAATATACTTCGTTGGTGTCAAATCGTTTTTCTTAATGCTTGTATCCATTTATCCCTAATGACTTCGTTCTTTTTCAAAGTAAATGTAGGTATAGCATTTCTCCTTTTGTCGTAGAATTTATTTATATATATTATAAATCTTCCTTCTATTTAATAACACAAAAAATTATTCACTAAAATAAGGATTAAATTTTAAACAGCAAATAAATTATTTTACCGTTCAGCAACACAGCCTTCTCGTACGAAATTTATATATGGACTAAAGAATGCTGTAGTCTCAAGTTATGGCCTCTTGAAATTTGTAAAATTTTAATTTTTGACGTCTTATATTTCCGAAACGGGAAGCTTTTTCAAATTTCTATAAACGCCAAAAGCTAGCTTAACTCACGCAATTAATCCTTAAAATTGAGCATTATGTTAACCCCTCTTTATATTAATTTTTGCTTTATTTCAAAGACTGCATAAATCGTTTATATTAAATATATGCAATCTTAGAAATAGTTTCATATATGAAAAAAAATAATTTTAGTAGTGTGGTAGGTGTACATAGACTGTATTTAAAAGCAATATTTTCACTTGCTGAAGGGAAAAGTGCTGCTATACAAACCATTGATTTGACCCAACTTTATTGAATTTACTTCTCACGTGAAATTTACGATGCTAAAATATATCGAAAATGATCTTGTGAACAATTTTCAGTTTGAAATAAGGCATTTTCTAAATTACTTTCGTAAATATACAATTTAAAAAACTTGTCGGAAAAAAATGAATTAGCATATTGTGAATGAAAAAAGTGAAAAATTTTGCAGAATATTAAACTCCGTATCCACACGTACCAAAAAAATAAGCTGTTTTATTTTATTGAAGTTACATATTTCAAAACCAAGACTCTCCACTAAGTCCCTTTTAATAAATGAGTTATCTGACATCCGTTATTTTATCTCGTTTCTATCAAAAGTGCAGCAACTATTGATATGGAGCTTTATTAATTCTCTGATTGACAGCTTTATAAACGAACAAAGTGATATTATTATCTCGTGAAGATACCTATTAATTTCTATATAATATAATATATAAAATAAAAACTGGTTATTTTAATATGTATAATAATGACACATTTTGAAAATGTGCCATATTATCTAAGCATAATAATCTTAGCAATGGCAACACAAATTAGGAGGTAAATAATTTACAAAATTTAATTATCTTCGTGGTCAATCGCCACTTATGCAGTATAATACGTCAAACTAAAAGTCAAAGAACCATTTTAATAATGCATGCATAATTGGACTTTCTTGCAGAATGTTTATAGGGTTCCGCCATTGCGTGAAATACGTATGTTTCTGCTAATTTCTTTTTTCGGAAAGTGAAATCGAGTAGCGAAAATTTTAAAATTTGTCTCAAAATATAAATCTATAAAAATAAATTAAGAATTTCATAGAAAAATTAGTGCTTCAATTGGATTTTTGAATATAGGTTCACCCGCTAAGTCCTAAAACAATTTTTTTCATTGTCAGAATTCAGACTGTTCTAAATACATTTATTTTAACTTTAAAGTTAAAGCTTCCGCCAATGTCAGCAGGCCTGTCAGAGCAGGTAACTAATTTAAAATACAAAAAAAATAATGAATTGAACATCCTTACTAATTTTAGCGATTAAAGGGGCAAGCGAATCAAGGTAAAGAAGTTTTAATACAGATGTACATTAATTCTGATAAAAATATTTGATTAGAAATTCCTACCGTAAAATAAAACAGGGTATAGGTACTTAATATTAATAAATTTTATATGTAAATACTCTATTCTTATGTATAAACATATGTAAGTAGAAAAACCACATATTTGTACTTACTTGTATAAATTGGGATCTGTATTTTAATTTGTTAATTTCGGTATGGCAATATATACATATATAAAACGTGAATATATGTATATATTTCTGTACACTTAATATTGTATATAATATGGATATTTTACCATATACATTTTATGTTGGTACATACATATGTATATAAATATTCATGTTTAGGAAATTTGTATTTGCTTTGTATATAACATTTCTAGATTTGGAGAATATATGGCACAAGAGTATAAGGTATGCACATATCTATAGGTAATATTATATATCGTAATATCCTATTACGATATAAATTATGTCCAATAAGTGTGCGTAATTATAAATGTGAAAGTAATAAAATGAAATTGAGCGTTTTTAAATATCTAAAAACATATATACGTATACAGTAATTATATTACAAGCATATTGAAAAATTGCATCTTGGTATAATGACTTTACCAAAATTCCGGTCTTGTAAAATTGACATTTTTGTGCGTTAATTAAAGTTACTTTTGGAATGATTAAAGATAAAATGTTCCGGTTTATGATGTATAAATTAAGATGTCGAATAAGAACTAGGTTAAAATAAGGATCATGTTTTACGAAAATAATTTAGTTAATAAGACAGTTTGGAAAAAATTTTCTCTTGGAGTAGTAAAATTATTATTGATCTCACATTAAGGGTCAGAAAGTCAACGAAAAAAAGCAGTGCTTACTAGAATAATTTCAAAATATCTGTTTTTAATTACGCAGGTAAAAATGTAGAAGAGCGTTCCATTCCTTGGAGTCAGCAAGTAGATGAAGCTTTCTTTGATGTTTCATCACCGAACGAAGCGAACTTACAAGGTAAAATTGTTAAAACATTATTAATATAGTATGTAATTTGTCTCGACAAAATTATTGGCAAGAAGAGTATTTTAGTTATATTTTTTAGGTTTTACAAATTAATTAATAGATTTCAGACTCGGCTATATATATTAATTTAGAAGAATAAGCAAATATTAAGTCCTTTAAATATTAATATATCTAAATCAAATTTTAAATGTAATATATAGGTGAAGCCTAGATATGCATATATATACATTGATATATATGATTATTATACGTTTATGGTTACTACATGCATATACTTATGTTTAGTGTTGCAATGAAATCCCTAAATTCACTGCTACATTAAACTTGAAATGTAAAAAGTAAAACATTACACTTCCGATTCATTAACTGGATATAATACTTTTTAGCGACTATTACTAAATAGCTCTTAAAACGTAGATTCTAATACACATTTTTTGATTAAACCGTTGATGCATGTATAAATCAATAAATATTGCATAAAAAATTTAAAGAAAAAGAAGTATAATGATTGTTAAAATCTAAAATGTAATTTAGGAACAGTAGCTGCTGGAACACAATTTCAATACCCTCCTTTCAATTCAAAAGAAACTCACTCAGCAATAGAGAACTGCCAAGGAGAAAACACTCGGCGAAATAGTCAACAAGCTGAAGGTAATTTTAGTTGAAATATTTGTTAAAATATGAATTTATTAAAGTATATTTTTTTTAAGCTAATCAATCATCTCTTAATTTCTATCCGAGAAAATACGAAAATGATAATTCTGTTAGTTCAAAGCATCATATAAGTGGTAATCACAATTTTAATAAAAGGACGAGTAATCATGATGATACATATAGATCTGTAAAAAATAATGTTGCTCATCGTACAAATATCGACACATCTAAAGTAAAAATTTCAAATCTGGGGAATCAAATAAAAAACATATCAATTGAATTTTAGGTGACCATACAGAGAGGATTACAAACTTTGTCTCTTGATAATGTCGACAAAACTAACAAGAACAATACAAGAACAAGTGAAAATCAATCTAACAATAGCAAAAATAATAAGGTTAATGCATCAGAACATCAAATTACGATAGCTGCCAAACAGATGACATGGGCTTCAATCGCTTCACAACCAGCAAAACCAACATTACGGGTAAAGCGCAATAGTTTTTTGCAAATTATTTCTTGTCCTTTTTTTTTATAAATGTATATGATTTGATTGTAGTCCAATTTGGCTTCGTCGGCACTTAAAAAAAAAGGACCGGGTATGCCACCTCCACCAATGGTACCAGGAAAACATAACATGGATATAAATACATGGGACACTCCGAAAAATGGACCAACTTTAGTTCCACCGCCGTTACCTCCAGTCATTCCAGTTCCCATTTTGGAGCAGTCAATATTTAATCAAAACAAAGTAAATTCGACTGAAGAAAAAGCTGGGTCTGGAAATAACCGCGAAAATGAAATGCAAAAACAAAAAAGTGAACAAGAAAATTTTGAACCGGAAAACCCAAATTCAAATAATAATTGGACTGCCACATGCCAATTGCAAAATAAGTTGCCTGAACGTAACAATCACCAACACTCAAGCACAAAAACTATTTCTAATGAAAGCAATGTTAGACCACCTTGGGTACCACAATATCAACAGCAACAGCATCATTCACATCACAGTAGTCAAAATCAGTCTTCGTCATATTATCAAACAAATTCACGAAATTTTAACACAACGCATCAAATCAGAGGACTAGACTCTGGAAATGCACATTATAACCGCCATGATGCATCTGCAAGTAATTATCAGATTTCAAATAGTTCGCAAGTGGAACCACACAATACAAGTTCGCCTACCCCAAGTAATACATCTTCAATCGCCATGGATGTGCATCAAGAACATCGTCAAAATAATTATAATCCACGCGAGCTTGATATTAAAAAAGCCAATTTAGCGCGATTTTTTGTCATAAAATCATACTCAGAAGATGATATTTATCGCAGCATTAAATACGAAATTTGGTGCTCTACTGATCATGGAAATCGCCGTTTGGATGATGCTTTTCAAGAACGACAACGTGAACGAGGTTTTCTTTATTTATTATTTTCCGTTAACGGTTCTGGCCATTTTTGTGGCATAGCGCAAATGATGACTCCTGTCGATTATAATTCCGTATCAAACGTATGGTCCCAAAAAAAATGGAAAGGTAATTTTGTTTTACATTAAGCATCAAGCATTGCGTTTTTTTGGTAACATGCTTGATGCTTGATCTAAGCAGCAGTTTGACATATATTCTTCTAAGTTTGATATATATATTTATCTAACGTGTTTTGAATCATACCAATTTTAAGGCACATTCAAAGTGAAGTGGTTGTATGTCAAAGATGTGCCAAATCAGCTATTTAAGTGGATAACAATAGAAACGAACGAAAACAAACCAGTTACAAATTCTAGAGACACGCAAGAAGTTCCAAATGATAAGGGCATCTTAGTAATGAAAATTATTCACGAATACAAACACACGACCTCATTATTTGATGACTTCTGGCACTATAGAAAAAGGCAAGAAGAAGAAAAAGTTGTAAAAAAACACGAAATACCTACGAACGTCAGTGGAGCAAGCGGAAATCGTTCACAGCATCGTTCAGGTGGAGGAGATTTCAATCGTGGCGAGACTTATGATAATAAAAATAGTTATCATCGTGAAAGGAGAAACTATAATCGTGGAGGTTATCAAAATAACTACGAAAACCGTCGTGGTATTGATAATTGTAGAAACAACCAAGATAATTGTACTTCTCTTACTAATAATAACAGAGACAACGTTGGAGATGCTTATAGAAACAGTGGTTTTCGCAACAATTACAGGAGAGATGATCGTAATGACGAGAATAGTTTAAATTGTGTTGATAATCGTGGAATGCAGGTAAATTTTCCACACCGTACTGATAACCGAGGTTTAGGTGGCAGTTTTCGCGAAAGGGATCGAGATAGTTACAAAAGAGTATTTAAATATTAGAATTTTTTTTGGAGATAGTACTTGACAAAATTTATTTCATTTTAGAAAGGAGCATGGAGATCGACCCAAAGAAGCGTTGAAATAAGCGAAAAAGCAGAAAACTAACTTTATTTCTTCAATTTCTTTGCTGGTACATTTTTAGTAGAGAAGCCATGTGATTAAATATTTATATTGAACAATATTAATGCCAATATTGGCTTTGAATAAAGCTGTCAGTATTTCTATTATGTTTTGTTTCCTGCTATTATTTTAGAATATTGAGAATCCGTTTTTTTCCAATAATATTGGTGACGCTATATATGCAAAATTGATTTACTTAATTGTAGAAAGTGATAAGATTTAGTAGATTTTTAGTAGATTATATGAAAATAAAAGTTTTATTTTTTAAATTTTCCAACTAATTTTCTTCAATAATTGAATAAATACATGTATGTATGTCAAATTGAAAAAATCATAAATCTAAGTGGAAAAATTGATATTGTAAAAATGTAAGATACGTAATGAAACTAAAACATTTGATTGAATATACTATAAAGATAGTGAAAAAGCTAAATTAATATTAATAAATTAAATTGGCGTTATAGAATTTGACAAGAATATGAAATAACGATATAGATTTGTGTTCAACAAATTTTACGCTATTTGCTTTGTTTAAATAAACAAATATTGGCATTAATAATCTATAATGCACTCACCTTATATTTTTTTCTTTAACAGGTAAACCTTCTGAACCAAGAGACCTTTGCAAAAGAATTTTCTAATGCATAGCTAACTTAAAAATATATTTCATTAATTTAATATAAAAAAGAACAAACAACACAAAAGAAATTATTTTATTCCAAAAATTATCAAGTTAATTATTAAAATGGCAAAGTATTTTCTTTCCTTATGCAATGTAAAAAATCAAAACTTAAATGGTACTAAAAATAAATATTGTGTATTTAAAAAAAAATATATGGCATTTCAGCCAGCCATAATGTTCCAATCATGTAAATTATAAACTTTTTATATTGACTCAAATTGATAAATGTTGACGTTGCATATATACATAAATATTTATTTTTAATTTATAATCAAATTGGAAAATTCTAATCAGAAAAAGTCGAAAATACCTTGCGAATCTCCCATTTTTTACCACTTAAATCATATAAAGGTTAAAGGCGAATTAAAAAAACATTTAGTATAAGAGTTAAATTATTAGATACTTAAACAAAAGCATCCAATGGGTAAATATCTCTGCAGAAATTTCAAACTTGAAATTACATATTGTAAACATTTAATTTTTATATGTATTCATGAAAGGTACATATCTATCGTACATTCTTTTTCCAAGCGATTTTTTGATACGTATGCTTAATGCCTTATATAATGTCTTAATATCTAACAAGTCCCAATGCTCAGAGAGAAACTTGAAAGCACGATCTTATTTTATATGGGTTTTTTTAAATCGAGGTGGCTATTTTTTGAGAAGAAATATTAAAATAAATTCACACTTCTTATAAAGCAGGTAAAATTCTAAATATATATTTGAAAAATCACGAAAATATATTAGTATTTTCATTCAGAATTATTTTAAAATTCTTGAAACAGCGGAAAAACAACAAGCACAACCTTCGCCTTCAATGTTTTATATGTTACTGAAAGCATTTCATTATTTTTAAGTGAACAGCTTTTTTTTCTCATAGGGTAAGTTAACTCAAGATATGGGAAGTAACTGTGGTTTCAAGTTGAAAATATAATTAATGAAAGATAATTATTAAATATTGATATAAATACGTAGTAAAGAAAAAATTTTTAAAGGGAATTAGAAAATAATATCTAAAATACAATCAAATATTATTTTTTAAATACAAATTTTTATATACACTTCTAAATTTTACCTCTATTTGTGAGAAAAATTTTTAAACTTAATATATTACCTAATTTAAAAAATATTTAAAAGGTTTTGGAAAAGACAATAATATCCGTGACTTCAATAATGCTTTAAAAAAGATTTAAGTACGGTATTAATACGGTATTAGTACCGTCTCAAAGCTTTCAATACCTTTACATTGTAAAAAAAACTACTAAAGCTTTTGATACATTTTGGAAAACAATTTTTACCATATCAATGCAACTTTAACATTTGTTTGAAAATTTTAATTTAAAGTTCTGTGCAAATGTTAATTTTAAAAAAATGAATGTGTTCCCAAATATTGTTGTATTGATTTTAATAGTAGCAATCAATAATTTTTTCCTATCCACGGTCCATTTCTTATTACTGCAAAAATTAAATGTTAAATAAATATTACATTTAATGAATTAAGGTATAACTTACTGCTCTTTTTCCATATAAACATATACGTGAATGTTTTCAAAAAACTTTTTTGTTTATGAATTTGAAATATGACAAATGACACTAAATTTTGTATAACTAACAAACGTTACCACACCACTGGAAAAATAGCATTCTTATGCCTTATTTTGGAAAAAACTTGATAGCTAGCACTTTATTGCTGAAAATATATGCTAGTTTAGTTTATCGCTTATTTCTGGCAACATTTATATGACAAGGTATAAGAAAAGCGTGCTCGATTTTTTCGATACCCGATTTACTTTTATTTTACGTCTCCATTACGTATAAAACGCATTTTGGAAAAGTGTACAATGTCAAGAGCTTTTAGTAAACTTTTTGGAATTTGATACTTTGTACAATTTTACGTCTTAAGCGCATTATTGAAGTCACGGTATATTTTTATGACCGGATTCGAATATCTTTTTTATTTTTGAAATAAATATTACCTTAGCAAATGACTCAAAAACTCCGATTGTAAAATGACAGGTAGTAGGTACTGATGTAAATTTTTGTCCGTTTGCGTTTACTATTAAGATTCATACACAGGCAGGGCCATTTTATAAATAGATTGCTCTTGTTTACCTGTTAATAAAATATGAAAGAAAAACACAACAAAATTTTTGAAGCACTCAATATAACATGTTTGAAATAGTTTTAAAATAATTATTTAAAAAAAAAATTGATTGGAAGTAGATACATACATATTTATTTTTAATAACTTAAAAACTAACTGAAATTATTTGAAACAATTTTATAAGTAACGTATAAATAACCGAAATGAGATAATTCAAATTGTTGAAATGTGTCAGCCTATATTACTTTTACTAACATTTTTGTTAGCCGACACTACTCAACTTACCTTATTGGCAAATACAAAATGTGCATGAAAAAACATACATCCTTCCTCATTAACATTCGAAACCATACTGAAATATGAATTTCAAATTTTTTATCATTCTTTCTTTCCTCCTACCTTTCCTTCTTTTTCGTGCAATAGAATTTAAATGGGAAGCTTTTTAAAAAATGTTTATAATATCCTGAGATTTTTTAAAATATTAGACTCTTTTTTATGTAACAAAAAGAAAAAAATAATAAAAAATATGACACGATCAGTGGCATTTAAAGAAAAAACCAACAACGAAGCCAAAAATTCGTAATATTTCGTAAAAAAAATTTAGTATTGGGACTTGTTAGATATAAAGACATTACTTTAAAAGAAAAAAATAATAAGAAATATGACACGATCAGTGGCATTTAAAGAAAAAAACAGAAACGAAGCCAAAAATTCGTAATATTTCGTAAAAAAAATTGAGTATTGGGACTTGTTAGACATAAAGACATTACCTTATATATCTATCAGGCCACAAAGCTCTGAGCAAGTCAATAATAAATCACAAACATATGGAATTTAAATGGAAAGGGTGACAGGAAATTACTTATGTGAAGAAAATTGACCTATTCGTGGTTCCAATAATGCCTTTTAAATGTGCAAACATTTTAAAAAAATTAACATTTGAACAGAACTTTAAATTGAAGTTTTCAAATAAACGTCAAAGTTGTATTGATAAGGTAATATCTTTATATCTAACAAGTCCCAATGCTCAGAGAGAAACTTAAAAGCACGACCTTATTTGATATGGGTTTTTTTAAATCGAAGTGGCTATTTTTTGAGAAGAAATAATAAAATAAATTCACACTTATTATAAAGCAGGTAAAATTTAGAAAATATATTTGAAAAATCAAAAATATATATTAATATTTTCATTGATAATTATTTTAAAATTTAAAAAAAAGCGGAAAAACAACAAGCACAACCTTCGCCTTCAATGTTTTATATGTTACTGAAAGCATTTCATTATTTTTAAGTGAACAGCTTTTTTTTCTCATAGGGTAAGTTAACTCAAGATATGGGGAGTAACTGTGGTTTCAAGTTGAAAATATAATTAATGAAAGATAATTCTTAAATATTGATAAAAATACATAGTAAAGAAAAAATTTGAAGAGGGAATGAGAAAATAATATCTAAAATACAATCAAATATTATTTGTTAAATACAAATTTTATATAAACTTCAAAATTTTACCTCTATTTTTATTTGAAAAAATATTAAAAACTTGCTCATTTATATCAATTACCTAAGAAAAAAAAATATTTAAAATGTTTGGAAAAAACAATCATATATTTTTATGACCGGATTTGAATATTTTTTTATTTTCGAAATAATTGGTATTTTACCAAATGACTTAAAAATTCCGACTGTAAAATAACAGGTATTTTAAAATTTTTGTTCTTTATGTAATATTCTTTCCGTTTAGAATTAAGATAGGTCATACATACACATGCAGGGACATTTTAAAAATAGATTGCTCTTGTTTACCTGCTAATAAAATATGAAAAAAGAGCACAGCAAAATTTTTGAAGCACTCAATATAACATGTTTGAAATAGTTTTAAAATAATTATTTAAAAAAAAATTTATTGGAAGTAGGTACATACATATTTATTTTTAATAATTTAAAAACTAACTGAAATTATTTGAAACAATTTTATAAGTAACGTATGAATAATCGAAATGAGATAATTCAAATTGTTGAAATGTGTCAACCTATATTACTTTTAATAACATTTTTGTTAGCCGACACTACTCAACTTACCTTATTGGGAAATACAAGATGTGCATAAAAAATCATACATCCTTCCTCATTAACATTTAAAACCATACTGAAATATGAATTTGAAATATTTTTTCATTTTTTCTTTCCTCCTACCTTTCTTTCTTTTTCGTGCAATAGAATTTAAATGGGAAGCTTTTTAAAAAATGTGTATAATATCCAGAGATTTTTTAAAATATTAATCTCTTTTTTACGTAAACAAAAAGAAAAAAATAATAAAAAATATGACACGATCAGTGGCATTTAAAGAAAAAACCAACAACGAGGCCAAAAATTCGTAACATTTCGTAAAAAAATTGAGTATTGGGACTTGTTAGATATAAAGACATTATGTTAGATATAAAGACATCAGATATGGTAAAAGTCGTACCTATTCCAAAATGTACGAAAAGCTTTAGTACTTTTTTTACAATGTAAGGGTCTTAAAAGCTCTGAGACGGTACTACAACCGTATTAATACCGTACTTAAATCTTTTTTAAAGCATAATTAAAAGGGAATAACCAATCAGCTATTGTAAATTTTAATATAGTCGCCATAATAGGATTTTGTCCAGTATCATATCAAGATACTTGACCTTTTCATCATTAGGTGCTATTTTACCGTTTAAATATAATATATAAATTTTGGTAACTTTGTTAATGTAAAATTTATGGGTATTGACTTTTGTTCATTTATTCTCATTTTCCATTTATCAGTCCATTCTAAAATTTTAAAGGGATAATCAGTTTTTTTAGCTGGTGTTAAGTTCTTGGTGTATTTTTCCATATTTTTATTTTTAAAATTTAGAATTTTTCTTTTCATCTCTTGTGTGTTTCTATTTAATATATTTTTATCTGCCGTACCTTTCGTCAACTGTCACCTTTTTCTAGCTTATTGTGTTTATATTACATCTTAGTTCTTGATTGAATTTTCTACATATATTTTAAGGCTTTTCCAATCCGTCGTTTTATTCGTTAGCGTTGGTTTCATTGTCTTTGGTAT